TGTAAAGTCACCACCCTGGCACATAAATCCTGGAATAATTCTGTGAAAGCAGGAACCCTTATAACCAAATCCTTTCTCCCCAGTGCTCAGGGCACGAAAGTTTTCTGCTGTCTTTGGAACTTTGTCTGCAAACAGCTCGAAGGAGACGCGGCCCAAGGGCTCGCCGTCGACGGCGATGTCGAAGAACACGGTGGGGTTGACCATGGCTGAGCGGAGGGAGGTCCGGGCGGCGGCGTCTGGAAGGCCAAGCCAACTCTTAACCAACTGAGCCACTTGGCCAGCCTCAGAAGGTCTCCTTTGATCTCCCTCTGCCTTCCATTCTGATCATCATCTGTGCCACTCTGAACATCTGCATTGCTGCCCAGCTTTCATGTGTGAAACCTCTCATCAATCTATAATTATTCCAGGATGCTTTATCAAACAAGAAAAATGAGAATTGGACTCCCAGCTAACTCAGTGTTCTGTTTGTTGGCTGGATTCATTCCTGTCTTCCACCTCCTACCAAATAATTGATTTCTAGTCCAAACTGCTTAAAACCTTTAAAAAAATTACACACTACAAGAATGCAAAGCTGATCTTAGAAAATGTTTGCTAATTACTTTAATACACTGTTATTGTGTATATATATGAAAGATAGAAATGTGTATATGTGTATGATCATAGGAAATATATGATGTCAGAACATCTTAATGGTTAAGAACATAGGCTTTAGAGAAGCAAAAACAGTATAGGAAAAATGCTGAATGCTGAATGTACCTGGCACATAGTAAGTGCTTACTAAATACTGATTGAATAAATGAATGAATAAACTGTGCCACCTTAGAAATTAGCTCTCAGAAGGTAGGCATCACATGCTGTGTAGACATGGCAGGGGGCATGCACATGACAGGTGTATGAAGAATGCCAAAAGAATATGAGGAGTGCCTATAAGTAAAAATAACTGAGAAAGGACCTATTACTTCTCCCTTGGTGGAGTTTTGAATGGTCAACATGTTTAACATAAACAGCAGTAGACAATGCTGATGAAAGAATTGGATTAATTTTTTTTACCTATCAGAAAGCAGATTGTGAAATTATGCTTAAATAGAAACAAAAATATTGTGACTTGATATATTCTTCCCAGTCCTTTCACGTGACTTAACTGAATCCTAACAATTTTGTTGGTGTAACTATTCCAGTTTTACAAAAGAAACGAAGGGTAAAAGAGTTAAAGTACTTTCCCAAGAGTGACTAGAGGGAAATGGTAGGCAGAAAGCATAAAGCCAGGTCTACAATAAAAATGACATAAATCCAGTGCCTCTTTCCCTGAATTATGGCTGTCTTCCCAGAAATGGTAAAGCAGATAAAAGCAGACAATTTAGGGGAGTAAGAAACAACCCTATAGGGACACAGTCTATGCCAAATAATGTATGAGGAAGGGTCATTTTCATAAAGTCAAATTTAAAAAGCTATTATGGGAGGACCCGGGACAAGACAGCAGAGTAGGTAAATGTTGTGCTGGCCTCTTCTCACCACCACATAAAAATTGTAACCAAACTACAGAACAACCATCGAGAACCTCCTGAAGTCTAGCTGAACAGAAGTCCTATAACTAAGGACATGCAGAAGACGCCACCTTGAAACTGGTAGGAGCAGCGGAGACGTGGAACAGCTGGTCCCACACCCATGTGTGGTGGTTAAAAATCAGGAGGGCTACCTCGGCTGTGGAGGACTCCCCCTGGGGAGTCGGAGGTCTCAGGCCCACACTGGGCTCCCCAGCCCAGGGTCCCAGTGCCGGGAAGAGGAACCCCCACAAGAGCTGGCCGTGAAAATCAGTGGGTATTCCATTCATCCAGGTGATAAGGAAAACTGCTGGACACCCGGACATCCCCTTAAAGGCCCACGCACAAACTCGCTACTTGCAGGCACTTACCCTGGGTTCCCGAGGAGAGACAGCAGCTCAGGAGGTGCCAGACACATACAGGGAGAGACTGAGTTGTGTGGCCTCACAGCCAGGGCCGGAGGGACACAATCCGCTGTCCCTGTGCCAAGCTCTCCTCCTATGCAGCCAGCAGGCGGGCGCCATCTTTCCTGTGTTGAGTCCTCCCCCCCACGGTCAAATCTGAATCTGATTGGCCTGGTGCGCTCTGCTCACTTCGCCCTGGTGAATCTCTGGGGCCCTGCCCCACCCTCTCAGGCATCACCACAGGCTCTTTCGGTGGCGGGCAGCCACCCCAGCCCTCGCGGCAGTCTTTCGGTAAATCACAGAATTTGAGAACTGGTGGCTGCTAGTTTGATCCTTCCAATTATTGCCAGTACTCCACCGCGATTAGCATTTCTAAGTAGTGTGTATTAATTCCTGCTCTTAATTCTTCCCACATATCCAGGGGAAGACAGAAATACTCAATTTCTGGGTGTCATAGTTCCTATGCTTCTCCTAAAACAATTTTGCAATATACATATATTAAGAGCTATAATGACTTAATACCCTTTAACCCAATAATCAATTTATAGGAATCTATCTGAAGGAAATGATCAGATTCAGGTAAAGATTTATGTATAAAGATATTCACAGTCATTATTTATAATACAATTATTAATGATACCAAAACGCTGCAAACAGACAAAATACCAAACAATGGGAAATGACTAAATTTTGGCATATTCAAACATTGTACTGCTATATAATCATAAATTACTTTCAAAGACTACATATTGATATGGGAAAATGTGAAAGCAAAAGCAATATACAATATAAAACTTTTAAAAATGAACTATACACACATACATAAAAATGCTATGCAATTTAAACATATTAAAATGGAAGCAGATGGTGGGATTATGAGAAATTTTTATTTTCTTCTCCATACTTTTATTTCTTATTTTTTTGGTAATGGAAGCAGATATTTTTATAATAAAGCAAAAACTTAGTTCTGGTTGCAGTATATAACATATTGAGTCTAACCTATTTTTCAAAGAAGTCTTTCTAAATTTTCTTTTAGATTAATAATTTTAGTTCAACAGTGTGAGAAAAGAAAAAAATATCAGTCCTTTCTAAATAAGAAACTATAGGGCAGGTTTTATAGATTCCTACTTAGAGTTCTTATCATGGTGGTATCACCTTGGACAATATTATCCTTGGGAGATAACAAGGTAGGTGAAGTTTTAGGTGGCTGACCAAACCTTTGTTGAAAAGTTATAAAGATCAGTTCCAAAATAATGTGTTGGTCCTTCCAGCTTGTGGCTATGTTTCACTAGGTGGAGTTTTTGATGCCACTATTCTATTTGGAAGCCTGACCAGTTTCACAAACATTATCCATTAATCACCATACACAGAACTTCAAAAGGCATAACAATTTGAAATACACCAGTGTTATAGAATCATCTCATGGAAACTCACAATGTCAGAATTAAATGAGGCTTTAGAGATCATCTAGCTCAGGGGTCATGATACGAATAGCCCATAGTCACTTGGTAACATAAATGAATGAAGCAGGTCATTTGTAAGAAAACTTTTCCTTTCCAACAAATAAACAAACACCCCCATTCTCTCCATCTCCCAAACCCACCAAATTTTTAAAAGGAATATATGTATCTATCGTAGTCTGTATTTGTTCTCAATTTTGAAAGAGACATGGGTTCAAGAAATATATTGGGTTGTCGGAAAAGTCATGACGCATTTTTGCACCGAAAAACAAAAAATACATCATGACTTTTCTGACAACCCAATATATTTTTAACTATACAAGAAAAACAAGACAACCTGAGTTTCAAGGAGACAAAGGGGAATAGTAATGACCAGAGCAAAACGAAATAAATGTTCCACATAAAAGGGGTACTCAGCTCTAGCTTCTAGCTGATTGTTCACATGTGGAATTTCTCGAGAAAAGCTACAAATCTGGATTTCTACATGAAGACTCTTAATTTTAAGTGTTGGCAACTGATAAAAAATGTGTGGGAAAAACATTGCAGGTCAAAAATACATGTTTGTCTGAGGACTGGCTATAGTTTAGTTTGCAATCTTGATCCAACCCAACCTCCTACCTTGGGGATACTGGATAAAATCAGGCTCACTGAGTGTCCTGATATTAGTTAGAGGTCACTCTGGTGACAGAACAGGGATTACAACTCAGATTTATGATAATTACAATGGGAGCATTCTAATATCCCCCAGAGAATTTCCTATATTTAGGTTAAGTGAAGTATCCCATGAAGTGTTAAGTATTATTTAATAGCAGATTTAAAGGCATGTGGCTTTTACCATCAATAATATAAAATGTCATGTAAAAGTATTTTCCACACAGCGCATCCTACTCCACATCCAAGAAGTTATCAATGAAACGTATAAATGTTTGCACTACCCATAGTTTCCAAAAAAGAATTTTAAAACAAAACATTATGAAATTTCTCTGTATGTTTAAGTGTGCAATCTGTTTTAAAATTTTGAAATTGTCTTTTTGAAACATTCAGTACAATTACCAAAGATACTGAGAAACATTCAAGTTTTTCTTGTTATGTTACATTTTGCTGTTTTGTTAAATTTGCAAATGTCTGTCATAAGTTTTAAAAATGCTCATTACACGTTAATCAGCTTGAGTAGTAACTCAAGCAAAAGACGTTAACTCTGAATTTCTTGTACAATCCGCTGACAAGACTCAAAACTTTTGCCAAGTAGCTTCACATTTCAACATTTCTTGCAGTAAAAATTATGCTTAGTTATCATAAATCTGAGTTGTAATCCCTGTTCTGTCACCTGAGTGACCTCTAATTATTTTTAATTTTATAGTTCACATTTTAAATTTTATAGTTCACAGATAGGCACACAAAGACATTTAGAAAGAAATTCTTACTTAGCCAAATGCCAAATATTGGCCACAACAAAGGCTCCCAAAACCAATTACTAGCAAATGTGGGAAGGGTCAATCTGTGAACTGCAAGTTTTAAAGGAAGACTTGAGTAATTACCTTATAATTATGGAAACAAGAAAGGGAAGATGCAACAAATAACACATATTACATTCATTAACATAGATTTGCACTTTATTGTAATTTTGCATCCTGAGATAAAATTTTACATCTGACAAGTCAACAAAGACAGAAGCAGCAGTGAACGTTTCAGAGAGGCAGGTCTCCTTCATTTTGGCACAGCTGTATGTATGTTGAGTTCTTGGCGGAGGTGGGGGGTCACTCCAGAACTCAAGGGAGAAAAATGAATCCATTCCACAGGCTATGTAACAATGCAAGATGCACTTTTATTCTTTTCTGGTAAAGCTGTCCCAACAGGAATCCTCTGCCAAAAAGTAGAAACCCTAGGTTTTTCATACAGATGTTTTGATCAATGCCCGCATCCTGGCTACCAGGATTTCCTGTTTTTCAGCCGAGACTCATATTTATGTGTTTAGTCCAAGAATGGCAAACGAGCTTGTAGATTATATAATTTAAAACATCCCTAACTTGTTTCAATGTCTAGACATTAAAACAATTTTATACTATTTGCTTACTAGAAAAATGGAAAATTGAGAAAATTAAGCCAAGATAAATGCAAACAAAATGAGCAGGAATAAAAGGAACATTTGAGAAGTTATTGCCTTGACTCATCATGTTGAGTTTATACACAGAACTACTTTAAAACTCAGAAATTGGTATTTACTCCAATGCTAGAACATGACATTATAATACTTTCCACACTTGCAATCTTATGTGTTTGTATGTATGCTTTACACATACACACCCAAATAAATGAGCTCGGTTATATCCAGAAACAGAACATATAACTGAAGGCAAATTCTAACCTGAAGTTATATAGTGCAATCTAGCGAAAGCACAGAAACACACATAATCTAGCATTGCATTATTTAGGGGCTGGGTAAGCAACCTGTGGAGAGGGTCAAATAATTTTAGTTCCTTTATAAAAGTGGCTCCCAACATTTCACCATAAGGATCCCTTTATTATTCTTTCCCCATGTTTTCAAGTATTTTGTTTACTAAATTGCATGTGATAACACGCTTTCTCATTTTTTTATTAATTAAAACTATAACTGCCATTCACAACTTCTGATCAGTTTTGTGATGACCAGTGTTAGACAGCATTGAAAAAACTTTAAGCAAAATGCATGGAAATTCAATGTCATTGCAGAAATCTTATAGGTAAATGTATGATTTCTAGTATCCTTTTTGAAATATTGAAAAAGTTTCAAGGATTCCCTCACTGCTATCTTCATCTGCCCCAAGTTGGGAACCACTGCTTTATATCCACCTGCTTCTCCTCCCTAAATCAAGTATTAACATAACACAATTACCCATGTTAACACATAGGGGACTGATAACAAAATTACTACTGAAAAATCGATTAACTGCAACACTCATTCTGTAGGGTTTGATTGAGAAAAGAAAACACAACAACATAAAGTAATTTAGAACTTACAAAATTATGACATCCAGTATATCTTTCAGTCAACTTCAAAAAGTACATTAATATATGAAAAAATTCTCAATTCCTCTGTGAGGTAGGTCCAGATTATTGTCCCCACTTACATAATGAGGACATGAGGTACAGAGGAATTGAGCAGCAGAGCTAAGAACTGAACCAACCAGAAGTGACCCGGGTTTGAATTCCATAGCACTTTCCCTTCCATCTAATATTATCAATTTGTTCCAACAGGTCTTTTTGAGGATATGGAACTTAATAAGTCACTGAAACAGATATTGGATAGGAATATGCAGCTCTTTTAGCATCAGTGTCAAAGTGGGTCCTCCCATGTCCCATTGTTGTCACAGCTCTATTCTTGTCCAGCTACCAACTGCATAGTCAGATTCCACATAGGCAAAGCCCACAGACCTCAGTTCTCAGTTCCTAGGGAGACTACATTCATTCTTCTCACCACATAGGGCTGAGGTCTAGCAGGCGTCAGGTTCTTTGAATCTGTGTTATATGAACGCACATCAGCTAGGAGCCAATTGGTGAATCAAACTTTTACGGCATGCAAGGTACTGTGAGAGTTTCCACCAAGGGTAGTAGAGCTGAGCAAAATCATTCTGAGATTCTGTAGACTAAAAATTTCCTAAGACTTCCTAGAATCCCAGAATGTTAGGTGATCTCTAATTTTCTGCCCAGCTGTAGGTTCAACTCAATGATTTCACAGATAAAAATGTGTAATTTAAGTGACTTGCCTGGAGCCCATAAAATTAGATAATTTCCTCATATAGTATGAATCTGACAAAGTCCATAGAAAGTGGAACATTTTCTCAGGTTGCCACCATTAAAATGAAAAGGCTGGCTCAGAATCAGGAAAGAGAAATTTGGGGCAAGATAAGGATATCTATCTATCTATCTATCTATCTATCTATCTATCTATCTCCATCCTTATTTTTAGTTTACATATTACATGAAGAAGTAATATTAATAAACCCTATTCCTTTTCTGTGGAAAGTTTCACTATAGTTCACCATTTAAAGGAACCCGAACAATTTGGCAATGGTTGCAAAATGGATTATTTTTAAAGCAGAATTTTATAGGCATAAGAGGACCTAATTTCAATGAATTTGAGTATCATACAATCAAATTAGCAAAAAGTGTCTTCACTATGTGAAACTGCTCCAATTAAATGGGTGTATATAATTTCCATATCTTCCTGGATCAAAGTCAATTCTAATGAAATACTGTTCAAGTAGTGAGGTTTGGTTTTTGTAAATGGTGGTTTATTTCTAAACACAATTAAAATGTTAATGATTTTTTCAAAGCTCTTATACACTTGGAAAAATTATTTGTTCAAAGGCTTACAAATGCTATGGAACTTCACTCCAGTTATTAAGAAAACAAGAATAAATTTCATTAAAAATGGCAGAGTACTAAATTTTAACACAGTATGATTAACTGATAAGACATTAGTGTTTATAGGTAATAATAATATGAATAGTATGTCCTTTAAATACTTAAGTGGGTTTGGGTAGGGTTTCAATCAAAGACCACTGTTGTTCCAGAACCATGTTAAATTACATGTTTGGCAGCATTAGAATTATACTAGGTTTTAAGTGACTGATAGTCTTGTTTTGTAATATTTTGTGACTAATATATCACACGATTGAGGGAAAACAAGGAAACAGGCTTTAAATAATAAATAGAAGAAATATAACGTGTTAGTGAAATATTCTTATACTTAGTTGAAAAAGACGGTTTTAAATCTAATGTCTACCAGTTCATCCATTCTGTTTCTGTCAACATAAATGTTATCTTTGTTCAAAAAAGACAAGGCACTTCTCCATCTATCTGTAACATTTGACTACAATGGTTTCTTTCCTAAATTAACATCAGTGGTAGAAGGAAACAAAGAGTAACTGGAAAAGGTTGGCGCTTATTTCATTTTATAAACAATTTGGGTGTTTAAAGAGGTAATGGGGTGGAGATGCATAAGGGGATGTTAGAGAAGGACCAGTTTTAATTGTAAACTCAAAGCTTTGTGAGATTTATATACTTTGGCAAATACATGTTATTTTCTCTGAAAGGACCACAGCAGGTTTCATAAAGGAATATTACGCAACCAAGAAATTAAAAATTACTTTCTTCAATCCAAAAACAACTTTCACAAAAATATTTTACTCACTTGATGAAAAAGATCCAAGTATGTTCTATACTGAGGATAAAAGAAAAAAAGGTGGATGGGGGAGGAATTAATGACCACAGTGTGCTCTGTCATTTCAGCATTCACTGTTGCCAATTTCATTAAAAGAAAATGCCCCCCACCCACCCACCAAAGCACTCCAAAATACCCAAATGCTAATCAGCCCCCTCCAAAAGAAAATAGTTTGAAAAAGCAGTCATCTAAGAAAGAAAAAAAGAAACCTGGGTATTTTCTGAGTAGTTCTAGAAAATAAGATGAGTCAATCAGCATGATGATCAATAAAATAATAAATTTGAGACTGATTAGAGTACGTTTTAAAATTAAGTTTACACATGCTGGCAAATGGTTTTTATGACTTGAATTATAATTATACTCTGTCACCTCGAGGTGCACTCTATTCCTGTCTCAGTATTTGTATCGTGGAAACAATTCACCACTTTCTGCTTTACTTTGAGCAAAATTAAGTGTGACTTACACATGGTAGAAAAAGTTACTGTGGCCATCACACGGCTAAATTCTAAGTTTATAGAAAAAAATGAGATTTTATGGGTTGACACTTAAAAGTAATTATTCCGTAAGTTATAATTAGAAATTTTGGATTATTCTGCAAACAAAGTTTGGTATTAAACTGTCACAGCTTGAAGCATAAACCTGTTATTAGCTGGAACATAAACCACAGATACAATTTCTCCCTGACCTCAGCTATAAAACAAGACATCTGGTATGCATTTTCAGAGGTTTACACCTTGTCTATAAAAATATACCTTCAATTGTGCAGCAAACAGGCAAATGACATTGACAGGCACACACAATATATTAAAAATTAGAGATTCTGGGTGGTTGGGTGGTATGGTGGGGGCAATGGGGCTCTACAGAGGGCGGTGAAAAAGTGTTTGTGCAAACAATTATAGCCACATATCAAATAGTGTCTTTTTTCCCTCCTCTTCTTTTACTAGATTGTGGAATTCGAATTAGGCATCAATTTCAAAAGTAGCTTTAAAAGGCTTGATCTTGTATGAAGAAATGATTGTCCCCTCCACTGGGATGAATGTTTGCCTACAAAAGTTACTAAAAGCAATAAGAGTAAGATGATAAATAAAATAGTATTCAGTCCCAGATACTTCTATTTTTAGCACTAGGAGCTAATGCCTATATAGGCATACACTTGCGGTTGAATTAACACAATATAAAGCTTTTATTATGTTAAAAATTCACATTCTAGAACAATTAGAGTGTGGTACTCTCACTCATCTTAACTGTAAAGAGAAATAGAGAAATATGCATCGATGAAAAGGTTGCCTGGTGGTGAATTTATAAACTAAAATACTTTTGTCTAAGTAAACATTAATGTTTGAAAAAGATCTTCAAAAATAAGATTAAGACTATTTTATCGGTTATGATTCAGCTTCTCAATTAGCTTTCTCTCTTTCCCAAAGTAGAGGATCAGGACTCCAGAAAGGGGCTAGCAGTGGTTTTCATGGTGTCTAGACACCATCCAAGCCATTTGAAATCTTGAAACACTCCTTGCAGGTCATAATTGTGTATATTTTCAAATGAGGGAAAGGAAACATGAAGGGAAATAAATGGGAATGGTGAGGCTGTGAAATGCTTCAGATGTTAAATTAATTACTTTGGAGGTGGGAGTGGGGTACAAAATGGGAATTACTGTATTAAATGGAAAAAAATAAGGTTCCTGGCTTCAGGTGCAACGCAGAATATCTCAGACAATGATTTCAGTTCCAATCAACTCATTACAAAGGGCAACCCAGCCCTACACCTGAAATTTTTAACATACTTTTATGGCTTTGCCATAAAACAGCATGTTAACAATTTGTACATTCAAAAGGATGCTTGCAAACTTCATTCATATTAAAATCTATGCAGAATTGTTGGCAATACAGCAAGAGTAATATTACATTCTGTAAACCATGGCATATCACATTTTACATTATGCAAAGAGACAATATTTACAAGTCTTTAGGAGTTTAAATAGTTTATCCACTAACATAAGTGATAATTTAGCAAAGTGCAGGACAAAACCAGTGCTATTAATTGCATGTCCTTTAAAAGCAGGTAAGAGTAAAACGATTTCTAAAAGCTACCAAAAGCTTGTGTATGTATATCCAATAAGGGATTACAGAGCATTAAAGTAGCCTAGAAAAATGATGCATATTTAGAAACAGTGAGTATGAAAATTATAAGGCAGCATGCTCAGAATAAGATGTTGTTTTTTAAACACCAGCACTGATGTTTTATCTTTAATGGCAACTATATATATATATACACACACACACACACACACACACACACACACGCACGCACGCACGCACACACGCACGCACGCACGCACACACGCACGCACGCACGCACACACGTGTGTTGTTTATTTAAAAATTAAGAGTGCAAAACACAAGCCTCATTTAACAACGAAAAAAAGATGTGCAAATTTTCTTCTTAAACCAACACAAATAAAAGTGTGAGGAGAATATTCTACCATTGTAAAGAATAAGTTGAACACAGCAAAGGAGACCATCTTCATTCCAAAATCATCTACAAGGCACTAAGGGTAGGAAATGACAGGTAACACAGAAGTGACTGAATAAAATTCCTCAGTCAGGTCGGAATATGGGATATTTTGGTAAGAATTCTATTAGTATTACCTGCAAAATAAAAACAAACAAGAATATAATAACAAAATAAATTTCATTTGCTATATGAGTAACATATATAACCCAGAAAGTCTATAATTATTTTTCACAGAACTATATTTTGGTACTGTACTATAAAGTAAGCGAAATATATAAAACAGTTATACAAAGAACCTACTACATGCTTTCATTAGCTTGGTAGTTAAATGAAACTGGCAAGTATAACTACTTACTGTAGCTAACAGTTTTTATTACCTGATTTACAATAACTATTTGTTTAGGTGCAGAAAAGTACACCCGATTACATTATTATGTCCTTCCCCACCTTCTCCACCCTCATTTATCTACATAACATCTATATATTTTTCAATTAAAGCTGCTGATATTGGTTGAATATAGAAATACATCTCTTACAAGTTTTTTGTAAAAAATAATAAAATCTCCAAATGGATTGGTTACAACATTTTAATTAAAGAAAGGTTTGGAAATATAATAATAAAAACCTAAGATATTTATAAACTGTTATAAATTTAATATATAAATATAAATAAATATATATATTTAAATTATTTATTATAATTCAATATAAATTATAAATTTAATATATAAATTTATAATAGTTTATACAAAGCTTTATCTATAGATTTTAGACTTGTGGTCATTGGTACATTTTTTTCCAAAACTATTGAAAGTGGAGAAAGATACCATAATAATCCTTATTTATGAAATAAAATGTTTATTAAATATATACTACATTTCAGCAACTTGAAACTTGGATAAATTTCATGTTAATGATGCTGAATTTATCACATTGGCTATATGTGAATTAATGTTTTATGATTAAGATTGCAAAGCTTTCAGTAAAAAAATAGAAACTATATTAATAGTTTCTTCACTAAAAGTTAAATGTCACCTAAGGAAAAAAAAGCCAGGAAAGTGAACCCATAATTCAGAAGTTAATTCCTATATTATACAACTTTTCACAAGATTACATTTAGAAATATTTTGTTCATCAGCAGCTGTGCCCATCATCATATGCAATAAATTAAGGTTGTGCCATCTTTTCTTTCACCTGAGCATCCTAGTTGAGCTTTTTCTAAAATCTAAATAATTGCTAACTTCAAGACATTTTATGTTGGCTACAAATCTAACAAAGGTGGGAGGAAACCTCTATGTTCCAAATGACAAAAGTTCAGGCTGAGGAGGAGAAAACAGGTAGACAGATGATTTGACAAATAATAAACATAATGAACTGTAACAATTAGGATGGAATCCAAAAAATTTTAATTAAAAACAACTGCGTACTTACATACTCCATCATATTGCTAGTTTCACATTTCCTTTTAGTCAACTTCCAGTGCAAAGCAAGCTAAGAAAGTATAGTTTGTTAAGAATTTTGATATCAATTTATATTATTTATTACCTATACATTTGAATAAGTCACTGAAAACAAACCAGGAATAAGTATAAGATCCAAAACATAGCATTTAAAAGTACCTGGTAAAGATTATACATTAAAAACTGAACATTAATTCTCTAATCCATTCCTTTGGACCAGAAAAATTCTCTTTTTTTTCAATTTAATAATACAAATATATGAATGGGGCATTTATTTGCTTAAACTTTCTTACCTTGTGATATAATCTGTTATTTTCCCATTCTAATAACTTCTGAATTGATCTTCTGGTCTAAGAGGAAGAATCAAGACTTTGTTACAAGATGAAACTTAGGAGCTTTGTAAACTATGTATATCTATGTTTTTCTGCTTATGTGTAAGATCCTATTATTATCTCCTCTTGTTTTTTTATTAAAAATCAGAAAAAAACAATATAATTGACAGAAACTGCCAAAAGAGGAAAGGTATTTTGGTTGATTAGTCTACCACTATAATAAGGTTTCCCTCCCTCCCTCTCTCACATATACACACATACAAACACAAACACACACACACACACACACACACACTCAGGATTTTCACATATGCATTTCAAAATGAAATATGTACAAATTACTGTCTTGTGAGTTCATTCACTGGAGTATTGTGAAAACATTAGAGTTTTGTGAAAACTAATTTCAGTGTATTGTGAAAACTAATACTGCTAGTAGTCCATTTATGGACCTGACCTACATTTTCATATACATTTTCACAGGGTTACTTTTTCAATATACATGCAATATACCAAACTAATCTGATTCCTCACAGAAAAGTTTCCTATCAGAGCTCCTAGCACAGCACCTGGCAAGTAGTAGTCAGTCAAGGACTACAGGTTCAATAAAGCAAGGCAACATATATAAAAATTTCCACTATTAAAAAACAGCCAGTCAGAAAACTTGCATTTAGAGGAAAAAATATAAAGAGAAGAAATACTGTAGTAGGACAGAGGCTGCGTTTCTCCATTTGGAGTGTACATATTTTGTAAGGAGTAAGAAAAGTTTGCAAAACCTTTGAAAACATTAAGATAAAATATTACTAGGCATTTTTAAAAAAGATTTTATTGGGGACTTGGGGGAGGGGAACAGCATTGGGAAATCGGGGAAGAGGAACAGACAAGTTGCTGTCCTTTTGTTCTTTACTCTAGTTGTGGAGGACGTTGCTTCACTGGCCCATGTTGGTATTGTGATCATTGTACTCTTCCCGGGTGAGGCAGTCAGTGGCCGGCCATTGGACAGCCGCTCACAGAGGCTCACAAAAGCTCACGCCCGCTGCAGGCCAGCCCCACTGCAGCCTACGCCGTCCCCAGCGACTCACGGCAGCCCAGCTCCAGGCTGAGCTGTTGTTCATCATCTTAGCTGTAGAGGGCAGTGTCACTGGCCCTCATGTGGGATCCGAACCGGGGCCCTGCTGCTCAGAGCTCGCGTCCCAAGCCAGCTCCTAACCAACATGCCACTCGGCCGGCCCATTACTAGGCATTTTTTATTCTTATTTGAAGACTTTTATGAGGTTTCTGATATAAAAGGCTAGTAGGAATTGTTAATTTTTATAACTATTCCTTAACATTAAATGATTTACAAATCAGACTATATCTGAGATGATTTCCAAAGCATCAACACAAGAAACTATTCTCCCTGTTCAACTATGTGAGTTAACAACCAATGGCAATTACATTCAGCTCATATATTGTACAATGCCACCTACAGTTTACTGTGGAGTCACTGTACTTGATAGAATCTCTCTAGACAAAATCAGATAGTTAATAAAGAGATTGAATTAGTAATTATAAATCCTTCCACAAAGAAAATCCCAGGCCCAGATGGCTTCAATGATGAATTCTACCAAACAGTTAAAAAAATTATACCAAGAACATAAATGTAAAACTCTCCACAAAATACTAGCAAGCTGAATCTACCAACATATGAAAAAGATTATATATCATGACCAAGTTGAATTTATCCCAGGAACACAAAAATAAATTGATGTAGTATATTACATTAATATAGTAAAGGGCAGAAACCACATGATCATCTTCTTCAAGATTTAGAAAGATCATCAAGATTTAGAAAAAGCACTGGACAAAAATCCAATACCCATTCATGATAAAAATCCTTTAAAAAATAGGAATGAAAGGAAACTTTCTCAACGCGATAAAGGGCATCCATGAAGAACCTACAGCTAACACCATTCTTAATGGAAAGAGACTAAATGTTTTCCTCCTAAGATTAGGAACAAGACCAGGATGTCTCCTCCCACTGCTTTTATTCAACACTGTACTAGAAGTTATAGCCAGGGCAATTAGACAAAGAGAAAGAAAAGGAATCTAGATTGGAAGAGAAAAAGTGAAACCACCTTCATTTGCAGACATCATGATCTTATAGAGATAAAACCCTAAGAAACTCACTGAAACACTCTTTGAACTAATAAATATGTTTGGCAAGTTTGTTATAGGTACAAATGTGCCCCCATGATCTTCACCCCCTTCAGTCACACCTGTGAATATGTAATTTTACATTTCAAAAGAGACACTGTAGATGTAATTAACATTACTAATTGTGTTTAAAAGAGAGAGATTATCCTGGATCATTTTGGTGGGCCCAAAGTAATTCCAGGAGCACTTAAAAGCAGAGAATTTTATTTGGCTGGTAGAAGGATAGTCAGAGGGGTTTGGAGCTCAAGAAAAACACAAACCACCACTGCTGGCTGTAAGGTGCTAAGGGTCAAACAGAATATATAAGAAGGAAATGATTTCTGCCAAAACCTGATTGAGCTTGGAAGCAAATTATTTTCCAGAATCTGCAGAAAGGAATGCAGCCCTTCCAGCACCTTGATTTTGGCCTTATTAGATCCTAGTAAGAGAACCCAATTGAAACACGCTGTGCCCAGATTTCTGACTGTGAAATAATAAAAGGGTATCGTGTTAAGCCATTAAGTTTGTGGAAATTTGTTACATTAGATGGAAAAGTATTACAGGGATCAACATATTAAAGATCAATTGTATTTATATACACTAGGAAAGAACAATGTGAAATGAAGGTAAAAGACCAATTCCATTCACAATAGAAGAAAATATTTAGGAATAAATTTAACAAAAGAAGTATAAGATTTGTAAACTGAAAACTACAAACATTGCTAAAATAAATTAAAGAACTGGTAAATAAATGGAAAGATATCCCATGTTCATGAATCAGAAGACTCACTGAATAGCTTTTACAACAAATGGTGCTGCAACAATTGGATATCCAAAAGAAAAATGATAACTCAAAACCCTATCTCACACCAGGTACAAATTAACCCAAAATGGATCAAAGACCTAATTGTAAGAGGTGGGACTTTAAAACAACTAGAAAACGTAGAAGTGAATTTTTGTGTTAAGTTAGGCAAAGCCCTCTTAGATATCATGTAAAAAGCATCAATAAAAAATTTAAAGTAATAAATTAAACTTAATCAAAATTAAAATCTGTCGTGTGCCAAAGATACCATCAAGAAAGTGAGAACCCTTCCCGAATGGCAATAGGTAAGAATAGTGGGAGACCTTGGTGTTAGCTGGGTGCTATACCCATATCTCTACCACTCTGCCTTGTGGAAGAACTGTTTCAGCAAACTTAGGAGCTGAGTGGCAGGCAGTTCCCAGATATCCCAGCTCCCTGGAGTTAAACAGCTCTTCTGGGTAGTTTTGTCAGATGGTGAAAATAGGCAGATCCACAACTCTGTTCCAGAAGGTCTACATTAAGTGGGTGGTAGCAGCAGAGCAGCACCCATTTCCCTACCCCCAACTTCTACATAATAGGCAGGACAGTTGGTGAAGCATGCAGCCCCTCTTTCTGGCACATATCTGTGTTGTGGAAGAGCTGATATATTTGCCTTGACAACTGAATGGCAGTTCACATCTCCCCAGCTTCCTAGGGCAGACATATTCTGGGTAGATTTGACAAATGGTGAATATTAGCAGATCCCACCTTCCCTATGTCTGGGCCAAAACCAAACCCACTGCTAACACCATACTAAACTGTGAAACACTGAAAGCTTTTCCATTGAGACAGGAAGAAGATGATGCCCACGTTTGCAACTTCTATTTAACATATCACTGGGAATTCTAGATAGAGCATTTAGGCAACAAAAGAAATAAAAGGCATCCAAATCAGAAAGAAAGAAGTAAAATCATCTCTGTTTACAGGTGATATTATCTTATGTGTAGAAAACTGTGTTTTCTAAAGAATCCACAAAAAGTCTGTTAGAGCTAACAAAGAAATTCAGCAATGTTTCAGGATACAAAATCAACATGCAAAACTCAGTTGCATGTCTATACAACAGTAAACAATTGGAAAAAGAAATTAAGAAAACAATTACATTTCCTATAGCACCAAAATGTATAAAATACTTAATAATACACTTAACCAAGGAGGTGAAAGACTTATACACAGAAAACTACAAAACATTGCTGAAAGAAATTAAAGATCTAAATAAATGCAAAGACATCCTGTATTCATGGATTGGAAGACTTAGCACATTGTTAAGATGACAATATTATCCAAAATGATCTATAGATTCAATGCAATCCTTATCAGGGTCACAGTGACTTTTTTGTAGAAATAGAAAAACCTATCCTAAAATTCATATTAATCTCAAGAGACCCCTATTAGCCAAAGCAATCTTGAAAATGAAGAAAAACTTTCTTATTTGTTATGGTGCTGGCATAAAGACAGACATATGAACAGACTAGAGGGCCCAGAAATAAACCCTCAAAAATATGGTCAATTGATTTTCAACAAGAGTGCCAACCATTCAATGGGGGAAAAGGGCAGTCTTTTTAATAAGTGCTGCAAAGAAAACTGGATACCCATCTGTAAAAAATTAAGTTGGGTTTTAGGCTCCTAACATATACAACAATTGATTCAAAGTGGGTCAAAGAACTAAACTTAAGAGCAAAAACTATACAAGTCTTAAATGAGAACATAGGAAACAATCTTTATGACATTAGATTTTGCAATGATTTCTTGGATATGACACCAAAAAGCACAGGCAAAAATGGGAAAATAGTTTAATTAGACTTCATCAAAATTAACAACTTTTATGCATCAAACGACACTATTAAGAGAGTAAAAAGACAATCTATAGAATCAGAAAATATTTGCAAATAATACATCTCATAAGGGATTAATAATGAGAATATATAAAAACTCCCACAACTCAATAATTAACAATCTAGTTACAAAATGGGCAAAGTATCTGATATACAAATCACCGATAAGCAAA